CCATCTTAATTTTTATTTCATATACAGGTAGATCCAGAAAACTCAAATAGGAAGACGACTTTTTGACTCCAGTTCTGATTTCAGATAGTCCATTGATCACGAGAAACAGCAAATGTGCAGTCTAAACATACTAATTTCAGTTGAAAAGTGATTTTATATGTAAAACTATTAACACTAAATACCCCTAATAATTGCTTTAACGTTGTCGTCTTCATTTTCCACGGTTTTCTGGTTACCACTGTTTCTAATCTTTCTAGCTACCCATCTTCATTTTTTCCATTTTGGGCCCGACCGGTCCAGCTGTTTCGACGTCTGACACGCCATACTAAATAGACTAACCAAATATTAATATAAAGATAAAAACTTTAATTGAAAATCGGTAAAAAAAGACAGACAGAAGTTTACAAATAATATTAAAATATACTATATATAATATTATGATACAATATATATAATATTTGGAGTTCACTGTAACAACATACAAAATTCTAAGCAGCATTAAAATTTTAAGAAAAAACCAAGACGACGTTTATTCCACTTTGTATATCTGTACATGTCTTAACTGTAAATATTTACCTCTGTACACGTCTTAGATAACTGTAATAGTTACTTCTGTACGCGTCTAAGATAACTGTAATAGTTACCTCTGTACACGTCTTAGATAAGTGTAATAGTTACCTCTGTATACGTCTTAGATAACTGTATTAGTTACCTCTGTACACGTCTTATATAACTGTATTAGTTACCTCTGTATGTACACGTCTGAGATAAATGTAATAGTTACCTCTGTCTGTACACGTCTTAGATAACGCGTTCGTTGTCGTCGACTGTCTAAGTTTCTGTCTAGTTTTGGACAAAAATAAAAAGGAAGATGAGACATTATTTAACTTTTGTCTGAAACAATATTTTTCAGAAAGTATAGAAACAAAATGAATTTCTGCAGAAACTCTTTTACATATTAGCTGTCGAGTCTTGATTTTATCTGTGGTTTTAACATCTTTTTTCAACCAGTAAATTCTCAAAGGTCAATATGGATGGAAAATTGACAATTTGAAGATTTGGATAAGAAATCAATATTTGATTACTATTATAATCAGAAATACAAATTAACTGCTTAAGAGGCAAAAAAAAAATTATGATTTTAAACTAATAATTGAGCATTCTAAAAACATTTAGCTTGTTCGTTCTTTTTTCAGTTTTGTTTTAACCTTTAAAACTTTTATAATATGTTTTTCTGAAACAACTTTGCCCAAAAAATTTCAATTTCATAGGTTCTAGAAATTAAGTTAAAAAAGAAGGAAAAAGAATAGAACTTGAAATTACTTTCTGAAAACATGTTTATTGTTTAAAGTATTTTCACAAAAGAAAAGTTTTCTATAAACTTGGCATTTTTTTCACTAATAAATGATAATTCTTCCAAAAATGTTATGCTAGTTTTAAGGATAAATGTTAAATGTATAATAATTTTCCTCTATAAGTAAATATGTAGAGGGGAAGGAGGTGAAGGATGGAAGATGTAGAGGGGAAGGAGGTGAAGGATGGAATATGTAGAGGGGAAGGAGGTGAAGGATGGAATATGTAGAGTGGAAGGAGGTGAAGGATGGAAGATGTAGAGGGGAAGGAGGTGAAGGATGGAATATGTAGAGGGGAAGGAGGTGAAGGATGGAAGATTTAGAGTGGAAGAAGATGGAGGATTGAAGATGTAGAGTGGAAGAAGATGAAGGATGGAAGATTTAGAAGGGAAAGAAGATGGAGGATGGAAGAATGTAGAGTGGAAGAAGATGAAGGATGGAAGATGTAGAGGGGAAAGAGGTGAAGGATGGAAGTTGTAGAGGGGAAAGAGGTGTTTGATGGAAGATAGAGAGAATGATGATTGGAAGACACAGCGTGATAAAGATTACTAGGATAAATGAGTAAAGATTAGTAAGATGAGTAAGGATTAGTAAAATGAATAAAGAATAGTAAACTATATAAGTAAAGATTAATAAGATGTATAAATAAAGATTAGTAAGATATATGAGTAAAGATTAATAAGATATATAAATAAAGATTAGTAAGATATATGAGTAAAGATTAGCAAGATATATGAGTAAAGATTAATAAGATATATAAGTAAAGATTAGTAAGATATATGAGTAAAGATTACTAAGATATATGAGTAAATTTTAGTAAGATATATGAGTAAAGATTACTAAGATATATGAGTAAAGATTATTAAGATATATGAGTAAATATTAGTAAGATATATGAGTAAAGATTAGCAAGATATATGAGTAAAGATTAATAAGATATATAAGTAAAGATTAGTAAGATCTAGAGTAAAGATTACTAAGATATATGAGTAAAGGTTAGTAAGATGTATAAGCAAAGATTAGTGAGATAGATGAGTAAAGATTAGTAAGATATATGAGTAAATGTTACTAAGATATATAAATAAAGATTAGTAAGATATATGAGTAAAGATTAGTAAGATATATGAGTAAAGATTACTAAGATATATGAGTAAAGATTAGTAAGATATATGAGTAAAGATTACTGGGATATATGAGTAAAGATTACTAAAATGGGTTAAGAAATAAGATTAGATGACTTGCTAAAAATATCTATTCTCTTTATATGATTATATATTGTTTAAGTGTTGTAGTGCTAATATGGCACAATGCAACAAAATAAAAACTAGCAACAGACTCTTGTCATATTTAAACCTCAAGTGGGTGGACATAATTTGGGGATAGGAGGGGAGAGGGAGGGGGGAGGGGTTATTGAGTAAATGGATTTAGAAAAAATATAACGTTGATACCCCTCTCCTCTGCACTCCCTGAAGGGGTAAGGATGGGGGGGGGGCTAGGTTCCCTGTAAATACGCCTACGCCTCCCAGCCTCTTTGCATATTATATTCATTTAAGCAGAATTTAATAAAACTCACCGGGATTTCATTGTTTTCCCATTCTATTTATGTTAATTCACATTTACCTCCAGTTAAACTTCATTCAGTGGTGGGAACTTTTAAATAGGACAAATAAGTTTAAATAGGACAAATAAGTTTAAATAGGACAAATAAGTTTAAATAGGACAAATAACTTTAAATAGGACAAATAACTTTAAATAGGCGATTCAAGCGAAACATTTATGATGCTTAATCTGTCTGTTCTTTCATTAATAACAAAACTTTAAATAGAATATCAGAAAATCAATATAGAAATAGAAATAGAAATAGAAATAGAAATAGAAATAGAAATAGAAATAGAAATAGAAATAAAAAATCGAGTGAATCTCCAGTTGTGGAGCGGCATGTACGATTTGCAGCTGTACCTTTAAACTTTCTCTGGTCAAGGATGACAGAGCTATTCTTATCTTTCTAGCTGGAATTTTTGTTATTTTTTCCGCAGAAAAGATAGGAATTGTAATTTTCAAGATGTCACCAAAAAATACTTTAATTTTCGACAGAAAATAATTGAAAATCTATTCTCATTGCACTTCAAATATGTAACGCGATTCGAATTGCATGGAGTTCTTTGCACTCCACTTTTAGCGAAAAAAAAATAAGTCTATTAATTGAATTTAGTTTCCTTCTTTCTATCTATCTATCTATATATTATATATTATCTATTTTCAAATCTACTTTCAATATATATATTTAATATATTTTATCTATTGTCTATCTATTCCCTATAATCTATCTATCTGTTATATATATCTATCTATCTCTGTATCTATCTCCATCTCTCAGCACGCCAAGTGTTTTTATTCTGAGTGTTAAAGCTAGATAAGGTGGGATTTTATTGAATAGAAAATACTGGTTGTTAAATTAATGGATAGTATAATATACAATATTTAGCTGGTAGTCAATCATCAGGCAGAGACAGGCATAAGCCATCAGTAAATCAGACACAAGGGCATTAACTAACAGTAAATCAGACACTATGGCATAAGCCATCAGTAAATCAGACACTGGGGCATAAACTATCAGTAAATCAGACACAAGGGCATAAACTATCAGCAAATCAGACACTAGGGCATAAAATATCAGTAAATCAAAGACTAGTCATAAACTATCAGTAAATCAGACACTAGGCATTAACCATCAGTAAATCAGACACTAAGGCATAAACTATCAGTAAATCAGACACTATGGCATAAACTATCAGCAAATTAGACACTAGGGCATAAACTATCAGTAAATCAGACACTATGGCATAAGCTATCAGCAAATCACACACAAGGGCATAAACTATCAGTAAATCAGATACTGGCATAAGCTATCAGTAAATCAGACACTATGGCATAAACTATCAGTAAATCAGACACTAGGGCATAAACTATCAGTAAATCAGACACAAGGGCATTAACTAACAGTAAATCAGACACTATGGCATAAACTATTAGTAAATCAGGCACAAGGGCATTAACTAACAGTAAATTAGACACTGTTGCATAAGCTTTCAGCAAATCATACGCTAGGGCATAAGCTATCATAAATCAGACACTATGACATAAACTATCAAAAATCAGACTCTAGGGCATAAACTAACGGCAAATTAGACACTAGGGCATAAACTATCAAAAATCAGACACTAGGTCATAAACTATCAAAAATCAGACACTAGGGCATAAACTATCAAAAATCAGACACTAGGTCATAAACTATCAAAAATCAGACTCTAGGGTATAAACTATTAAAAATCAGACACTAGGGCATAAGTTATCAAAAATCAGACACTAGGGCATAAATTATCGGCAAATTAGACACTAAAATTATTCAGCCAATATATTAGAATCAAATTTTGTAGAAAAAAAGCATGATTAGAATTTTTCAGAGGTCAAAATTACTTGCTTCGTTAATCCTTGGATCAAGCAGTAATCCGTACCTTATATTGTATCGAAGGATTGATTTATTTCCTGTGGTCTGATTAATTCTGTTGTAATTATTGATATCAATTACCTAATTACCTAATGATCAAAGATTTTGATTTCATTTTAATTTTGATTTTTATATTTCAGGAACGTTTGCTAGAGTTTGTTTATGTCGAGAGCGCAGTAACAGAGAATACTTTGCTCTAAAGATCCTTGCTATTCATGATGTTATCAGGTATTCAGGATCATGACAATGACCATGATTATGAATACGACCATGATCATGACAAAGACCGAGACAATGACAATAACCATCACCATAACCGTAATCATGACCATAACTATGACCATGACCATGACCACGAACATTATTATAACCTGGGACATAAACAAGAATGATGTTAGGTATTCATGACATGACCATGACATGACTATTATCATGACCATGACCATACCCATGACCAATCTTCATTGACCATGACCATGGCAACAACCATGACCACAACCACAACCATGACCACAAACACAAACATGACCATGACCATGACCATGACCACAACCATCACAATGACCATCACCACAACCATGTCTACAACCATAATGATAACCATGACCACAACCATGACCTTGACCATGTTTATGTTTAGGTTGAAGCAGGTTGAGCATGTAAAGAATGAGAAGAATATTCTCAAGGTCCAACTGGATTTCAAATATATTTTTTAAATATTTAAACTTAAAAAGTGGAATTGAAAAATAAAAAATAAATAAAAAGGAAATGAAAATTTGTCAATTAGTAGAGTGACAGACAATATGTTTTTTTAATTAAATTTCATGAATTTGAAAATATATGATTTAAAATCAATAAACCCCTAACATTTTCAGAATATCGAGACTACCTTAAGATTAGGTTTTCTTTTCCTCATTTCTGCAGAACTTCTGCAGACTAAGATAAAAAAAATGTGCAACGTTTGAATTTCAAAGCTTTCATCTGATTACCTCATATTTTAAACTTGAAATCTATCCATCTGTGAAATGTCTATATACTAGCTAACTGTTTATCTGTAATCTGTTATTTAATATCTGTCATAATGTTATCTGTTTATCTGTTATATATATGTTTAAAGAATCGTCTAATCTGTCTATCTGTATCTGTCCATCTATTATCTGTAACTATCTGTTATCTGTATCAGTCCATATATTATCTGTGACTATCTGTCTATCTGTATCTATCTATCTTTTATCTGTGACTATCTGTCTATCTGTACCTGTCTTTCTATTACTTGTGACGATCTATCATCTGTATCTGTCCATCTATTATCTGTGATTGTCTGTTATCTGTATCTGACCATCTATTATCTGCGACCATCTGTTATCTGTATCTGTCCATCTATTTTTTGTGACTATCTGTTATCTGTATATGTAAATATATTATCTGTGACTATCTGTTATTTGTATCTGTCCATCTTTTATCTGTGACTATCTGTTATCTGTATATGTAAATATATTATCTGTGACTATTTGTTATCTGTATATGTAAATATATTATCTGTGACTATCAGTTACTTGTATCTGTCCATCTTTTATCTGTGACTATCTGTTATTTGAATCGATCTATCTTTCATCTGTGACTATCTGTTATCTGTATTTAATATCTGTCTATCTGTTATCTAACAACATGCTCTAGTAAGAATTTATCTAAAAAAAGCAATCTTTGTCTATTTGTCCAACCTTATATCTACTCATCTATCTGTTTGTGTGTCTGTTTATCTGTTTGCTTATGTGGCCCTTTATAAACTAAACCTTGGTTTTTGTAAATATTTTAATGTGACAGCGAGAACTAATTATTTGTTTTCACACTTTTTTCTCATTTCTTATTCGCATTCCAGACAACGTTTTTACAGGGACACTCTGACTACTTTCAGGTGAACCTTTATTTTAAGGATATCGTTGTGAATCTGAGACATGCCACTTTTTATAAAGAAGCACCACTAGAAACTAAATACACAGTCCCTTTAAACCTAAAATATAGGGAAAGGTCTTCAAACTTCAGAGTCGAATTAATTTAAAAACGTATCTAGCTGATTTAATGTTTCCGCATTATTTGAATAATAAATATTTTACCCCTTTAACTTAAAAATATGAAAAAGATTTGTTTGAAAATTAATGACTCTAGCTCTGCAAATTTAAAATAGATTATTTTCAAACAAAGAAGAAACCCCTTTTAAATGTTTGATTATTCATGTTAAGTATATCTTACAGTGGAAAACTTTGGTTTAATGTATAAAAATGCATTGAATTGTAAATAGTTGTTCCGAGTTTCCTTCACCTTTATTCTAAGAATTTGTAAAAAATCCATTTTCCTGGTTTTTATTTCCATGAACTCAACCTTTATACAGGATCTACCTCATTCTGGTTAGAATTGTTTAAGAAACCGCCGGAATGCATTTGTCAGGGCAAGGACACAGTGATTTAGACGCCCAGAGGTTAGATCCTGTGTTTGAAGTATCGTTAATATTGACGACTATAGATCTCGATATCCAATGTGGACACTTTTAAATTTAAGGATTAATGCTTGATCTCTCAATTTAAGATTTTCTTTTAATACGATGAAGATCAATGCTTGATCTCAGAACTAACAACTCAATAGTTTTAGCTTCTGGTGTTCTAGTATAGGAACCTTCACTTTGGTCAGAATTTGAACATTTATTTTATAGATTTAACATGAATGAATGTATGTTTAAAAAAATGCTCTTGCGATTTCTTTAATTATATCGATGACCCCAGACATGGTTTAAGTAAATTTGCAAGAGAAAAAGGGATACGGCATAACCCCTTTCCTTAAAAGAATATGTGTACTCTAAACTGAAATATCAGAACACCTTTGCGCTCCCATACTCCTTCATTTTTCATTGTACACCTAAGAATTAAAATGGTGATATAACCGGTTGATACAAATTGATTTTAAGAATTTTTTGTATAATGGTTTTGTTTCAAACATATAGAAGTTTGAAATTCTGCCTGAAATATTGGAATCGTTTTAAAATGATAAAATTTAATTCCAGATCTATTGGAATTGTCAAAAATGTTTTAAACTTTATTCATTTCTTGCTTTGTGCAAATAATAATTAAATTGGGTAAATGCAAAAGAATGCATAGTTTATAAAGGAACTGTAGACTCGATGAGATTGATCCTTAATAACAAAGTAGACGTATAAAGGGGGCCATTGGTTTTAAGAAGCTTTAGTACAATTAAAATTTAGTCTTATGAAAGTTCGAAAATAGATTCCTCTCCCCATAGAAAGAGAAAGAAAAAACGGATGGGGGGGACGCTGAAAGTAAAGGGGTGAGGAGGGTATGAAAATGGATG